GTCGTTGCGCGCGTGACAGTCGCCTGAGCGGCCGTCGTTGGAGCAATAGAGAAGCGGGAGGCGGATGAGGAGGAGGAGGAGGAGGAGGATGGAAGTGGTGGTTCAGAAGGATTGTCGGAGTTAGTTGGCGGCGGAGGGGAGGAGAGGGCGGGCGGTGGGACGATGGTTGTTGCAGTTCGGGAGGCGCAGTTGATCCGAAGGTGTCCAACAAGTCCGATTCGAGCCCGCAATGCCCGTTGACACCGAGGACACGTCGGTAGCGTTTATGCGGTGGCGTTGCGTACTGGGCCTAGTTGGGATTTACGGGCTTCGCTTATCGCCTTGGCTGCAGCGATGGGATTGGCTTCGTAGATCGCAGCGCATGTCTTCACTGTCCTCTTCCAGATCGGTCCATCCAGTGCGAGCTCTTCCCAGTTGGTCGGTTTGATTTTCAGGCGCTTCAGGGAGGACTTCAGAGTATCCTTGTAACGGCGAATTTGGCCTCCTTGACGGCGAAGACCCGTCGCGACTTCTCCGTAGAAGAGTCGTTTGGGTAGTCGCTTGTCGACCATGCGCACCAGGTGGCCGCTCCAGCGCAGCGCGTTCGACCATCGATTTCGATGATGTCCGCCTTGTGCCCCACAGACTGCATTGTGGGAGCAGGGACGGTGACTTACGCAGGAGTTTATAGTGCCAGTAGACTTGCGTAGCATCTACCTACACTCCCTCCTCCTTCCCCGCCTGAGCCCGGTGTCAAGAACAAGTCAAGAAGACCGGAGACGAGTGTAGGCCGCAGGTGGATGGCTCGGACGTATCCTCGCCTTGGCGCTCCACTCCGCACCCCCTGATCCACCCACAAATGACCAGGATTTTGACCAAAAAACAGTGGGGTGATGGCGGTGGTCCAGTTGTGCTGCTATTGCCGACCACAGTGTCTGCCAGCGCACCCCACAAATGTTGGCATTTGTTATTGTGCACAGATAACGCCTGCCAGATTTCGATGTGGCCCCCGTGTTGGTCCAGCGCATCTAACACGTGGCCCGTTTGTAGGGCCGAACACACACACATCACAGTTAGCTCATCGCGAAGGACGTTATGTCCCACGGAGTAGTCGGCGCTTTAGGGGAATTGCGCATGAATTAATTTATAATGTTAGCAGACTTGCGTGGCATTTGCCGCACCCTCTCCCCCCTAGCCCACATGGGACCGATGGCCAGACGGAGTCACGACGGCCGAGGGTTGGCTCGGAGGTAGTGGCCTACGGGAATAACATAACTCCTCAACGCCTGCCACACACGTCACGGTCATTCGTCCGATGTTCCAGGATTGTTGACTAATTCTCCTAGATCAGCCCCACTCAATCTCTGCTTTCTCATGAGCATCACTTTATTCTTCGGACCTGTCAACAATCTGGTGCAGGGATTGGACGCGGTGGCTGACAGAACCGCAACGGTCTATCTATGAGTGCCACACCAGGCCTTGTCTGACATCAACCAACCACTTACCAGAGAGATGGATGTTCTGGCTGTGTGTCGGGTAACGTGAGACTGGTATGTGTGTTGTGTATGGAGCAATATATGATGTTGAGGTAAGGTCGCAGTGTATCCCGGCAGAGTTTCACGGAAGCACATATGACAGCATTGCCGTCAACGAATAGCTGTAGGCATTGTGGGCAATTGAGTCAGGTGTGGTGAATGTGCTTTGGTGCTTGTAGCGTTGTTTTCCGGTTTCAGTCCAACTGATTAGCAAGTGACCTACCGGGCCTATGCGTGATTTGAATTTACGACGGCAACACGGCAGGACATACACTGAATGATAGAGCGTCAAGTGTCTTCTACCGATGGTGGCGCGCACACAGTTCGGGCTTCGCGACGGACAAGATACCCTTCCAACTTTTCACATGTGCAGCTCTTTTTTGCAGTCCCGTTAACTGATAGCGGCGGTGAATGCCAAATAACTGTATCGAAGACCCAAATATGCGGTAAAAAATAAAGGGAGTAGAAGAAGAAGAAGAAGAAGAAGAAGAAGAAGAAGAAGAAGCTTGTGGTCCGTCGATTTGTCCGTGTGTGACATGCTTGAGACGGAGGCTCACCGCAAACAATGTCGTCGTCAGTCGAGCGAAGAGAGAAGGAGGACAGTGGAGAAGTGCCTTTGTGCATGACAGTTTAGCGTACTTCTCATCATAACAAATTGGAAGCAGGTACATCCTGAACAATGATAAAACCTTAGTGGTATAGATGCTTGTCAGTTGATGAGATAACACTCCCCTTCATCTGAACTGTTCTCATCACGACCTCTATGACCTCCTTCACGCCCTGACCTCTGAACACTTCTATGGCATGTAGGAGATAGTGATTCCACCCCACGCCGGCCTCTGCACATCGATTCGTCGTCATTTTGTTGACAGACCCTGTGCACGGCAGAGGGAAGAGAGAGAGAGAATGGCTGTCCAAGCTCAGATCCAAGGCTTAGATACTTAAATTCTACCAAGTGTACTTCGAGAGCTACACGACACGCAAACAGCCATGAATTGGAAAGATGCCAACCGATCGCATAAGTTAATTGCACTCGAGACTGAATATCAGCTCACAGTGACTCATTGATAATGCGGTCTCCACGTGTGAGCTTTTTCTTGAGAAGGCACAACTCAATCTCTGACGCAAATGTTCAGCTTCGCGAGTCTTTATGACGGCAAAGGTGTCACTTGCATAATGAAGTGGCATTTGAGCTTGAAAGTTTGAAAACCTTTCCTCATGGTAGCTGTAACAGGGGTTCAGTGAGCAGTCCGGGACTTCGTGAGCCCATTGGGGTTCCCCTAACCTGTTGGTAATACTTATCTGGGATTGGATTAAATTCTAAGTATATATATATATATATATATATATGAATAACTAATGTGGTGTGCATTCCGAGGTGATAAAATGAAAAAGAGAAGGCTCTTCGGAAAATCGAGTTGTACTCGTAAATTGTCAAGTCGGTGACACCAACGCGTCGTCAGACGAAATAACAGAGAGGAAAATGAAATCGGCAGACTAGGTCGTCTGGCGCGACAGGACAGACAACGACAAACAGACAGCTGATGCGTGAGAGGGATGAGCACCAAGTTATGGTAGGCTGTGGAGAAGGGGGAGGGAAGGAAGAACCGCTAGGGGTTCTCTGTGTTGGAGGTGGAGAAAACGCGGGGGGAATTGCAGATCAGTGGGAATGGGGGCGGCTGGTCACTGTTGTGGGATGAGGTCAGGGGACAATGCGCCGGAGTCGGAGGTGTTAGGGTTTTTCGGTTGTTGTTCACCGTGTCGCAAGGAGTGGGGCCGAGTGGGGGTTTGCAGTTTTTAGGGTGTTAGCATGGCCAACGCTTCGATTGGAACGGTACTGAAGTGATTGCAAAGGCTAACACCAGACAGGCGCGAGAATTCCTCGATGCTTGGCATTCTGGCACGACCAGCATCAACCGTCACGTCCATTTAGACGCTCACTACGAGGGCTTACGTACACGCCCACTGTCTTCTTCCCACACCCTTACAACTGCTTATCCCCACTCGGCTACTTAGATGTATGCTGTTTTACCATTCCGCCCCCACCCCATTGCGACACGGTGGGTAAGATGATAGTTGGTAGCCGTGCCCACGGACTCCCCAATGGTACCTACTGGCTCGATTTCAGTAGCTGTGATTGCGTTCTCATTATGCTTCTAAATTCACGCGCACGCTGTATTACCTGTATCAGATTCATTTTAGAGGTGCTATCCTCGGTAGATTAGCACCGGTAACGATGACAATGAGGCTTACCCTATGTCAACTTTCATTAGAAGAGGTAGTTGGCTGTCGTGCCCACAGAATCCACTATTGCACCTACTTGCTTGATTTCAGTAGCTATGATTACGTTCTTATTATGCTTCTAAATTTACGCTGTATTACCTGTACCAGATTAATTGTGGATGTACTATCCTGGGCGGATTGGCACCGGTAACGATGACGATGAGGCTTACCCTTTATCAACTTTCATTAACAGAGGTAGCTTTCGACTGTATCATTATTTGCGGATTTTCTCTTTCGCCCAAACCAATTTTTCGCATAAAAGTCTTGCCCGGCTTACGTTGTGGCGTCCCGCGTGCCGCTGCTTGACTCTCGTGTTCTTCTGTCCATTATGTTGAATGGAGTTCTATCGCACACACTGCGGAATTACCTTCGGACTAGTTGCCTTCTTCCCATTGGTTGTTCGCCATCACTTGCTTTTCTTTCCAATCTGAGGCTAGGATGCATTTATTCCGCACACAGTTCAAAGTCTCCTTGCTTATTTCCTTACCTTGTATTTTTCACCTAATCTAAATTAGGCTTCCACTTTACCTGGAGCGTCAATTCCTAGCATATATTACATTCGCCATTTACCCGTCCACTCAATTGTCCCACCCGTATGGCCCTATTACCACCGGTCCCGATTGACAGGCAGCTGGTAGTTTGCGGTGTCAGGAGGGCTACCAAGTATCATCTAACCGGATATTTTTGCACTTTGCATAAACTGCGTCCTTCTATATGCCTTCGACAACCGATTCGAAAGCGCGTCCGTGACATCGCAAAAATACAATTTTGGATTCAGCAGTGGCCATTCCTAGGGTCTCGCGCATCTGTCGCTCCTTGCAGTATGTGCGTATATGCGTATAGGAAGGTAGGCACACCTGGAAATATGACTTGAAGGCCTATCCTTTCATCAAGAATATGCCCGAAGTCGCCAAAAGACACACAAGGAAACACCAAATACAAGAGCCCACGAGCCGTCGACTACATTACGCACCCAGCTTGTGCCCCCGAAGAATGGGACCGGTCATTTAGATGGGAAAGAGGTCTTCTGTGAGATTCCATATGACAGTAGCAATGTAGTGTACCGTAGTCAAACAGGAAAATCGATCTCTACCCGCACGCACGACCATTAATTATCGCTATGAGGACGAGACCACCTGTTTTAAGCTGTCATGCATTCGCTAGAAACTGGATACGCGTCTACTTCAGACAAAATTCATGTTGTTCGTGTCTGTCAACCTAAGAATAGCCGAGTAATTGTCGATGTCACTAACGCCGATGGCTCGTGCACTAATCAGTTCATTGAATTAGTCGCCCTTTTAAAATAATCTCGGGCAAAATGGAAAAGATGTCAGCCAACCCGAATGGACAGATAGTTCACAGCAATGGATTTATCGAAGGAATGACTACATTAGCGATTTTTCACTTATGCTTAAAATTTTGACAATTTTGCGCATTTGCTAAAGGTTTGAATGTGGCCTGGAAAACCAGCGCCGAACTTTTACAAAATAAAGTTTGCTCACTTTCCCAAAGAACTTATTCACCTTTAAACGTGTATATGAGTCATATATTTAGGCATCGCCAGAAATGCAAGCTAAAGTCAATTTACTCCCTTTGGGAGGGTTGTAAATCTTATTCTGCAAACTTCTGACGCTAGCTCTCTGAATGGTCGTCAGACCTAGAACAAATGTCGAAAACAGTTTAATTTTTAAACGTGTCGAAAAATCCGTACTCCTTTGACGTTTGCATTGATAGGCGGTCGCTGAGTGTACTCG